ACTCATACAAATGGCGTCCTGAATAATGAATAATTCGACATATCTGTACCTCCGTCTTTCATTGGGGGAACCATAGGTTGCCCACCCTCGCTTGCGCTCCTCTCAGATATTGAATTCTCGCGCCTCGATCGACCTCGCACTCCCAGGATTCCCTTCGCTGGCGCGACATTCAAGTTCCCACGGTTGTTACTTTTTTTGCCGCCATGTTCGATTTCCATGCCTCGTACCTCCTGAGCCAAACGAACCGTCAGACCGGTTGGGTCATTTGATTGACTCGGGGCCGTTAATTTATCTATCAAAGCAGGCTCGAACCGACAGGACGATCATTACTACTTATTCAACCGTGGGAACGTACATATCCTTGAGGCTTGTGCGGATGATTCCGGTTTCTCGAGCGTCGGGTTCAACTACCAATGCGTATAATTCCCGCCTTCTGTTCCCTACCGATAAAATCCAATAGCACACTTATTGCTTACTTTGATTTATTCGAAAACTGAAACTTGAGCTCGAACGTCCCAACTATAGGCTAGACTGTCTGAGTCGCCGAATCGTGACCGCTATTATACATGTATGTGACCATGGTACGTATTATATTCATTGCCTTTACCTCTTTAGTGCTCAATACTTACTGAGTTGTGCTATCCCCGGCTGGTCTCGGTTCGCCAGTGAATCAACTTCTGCGCATGCGACGTCCGACACCTGGCGTTCGATTCGGCGCCGCGTTTTAGTCTTCAGTCCTCATACCTCAGGCTCTACTCTTCCTCTCCCTGCCGTCCGCCATCCGAGTCCCATCTAATCCGACCCTCAATCCTACAGTATCCCAACCCTCCGACATCAGATGATACATACCACTATAGGGCATCCGAATCGACGCGAGTCGCTCGTTTCGCGTTCGTCTCTGCGCTCACCGCGAGGTTCAGTTTCACATTCCCTACCTCACTTTGTATTTTTCTGGTTATTTGATTTTTTTCTTGACAGCTCTGAATGGCGCAGGCAGCTGGCGGTTTCGTCTCGAGGTGCGTTCTATTTTCCTTCCTTCCATCCATTCACTCCCTACCAATAAACACGAACCACTGACAACTACTCCTACTCCGATTCGCGCCTCCCATCTTCCCTTGCCTCTTTCCCCATCCCTCCTTCATTCAATCATTCAATTCTCTTTGATTGATTTTTACCTGCATCCCGACAGACGGCCGGACGCAGGATGCAGACGCGCACCTTACGCGTACGGAAAGCAGACGCAGGTGCGGAGCCTAGCACGGGTAACGGTCTTCAGAAAATCACGTCAGTTTGCTATTAGTAGAGGCTGAATGAGTGTACGTGGGCACACCCGGGCATATATAAGGCCGAAGCTCTAGGGACTTATTCATACATCTGTTACTTTGTAAGCCTTCACCGACGCGCCCGTGACGGACTACTTAAGCTGCAGAAAATAGGTGTTTTCAATCAGTGGTTGCCTGCCGTCTGTTAATCTCTCCTACATCATCCACTCACCGCAACCATGAGTTCAGAAAAAATCCAGGACCTCATTAGCAAGAACAAGTGCCAATTGTGTTGAAACCTTCCGTTGACAGTGCTGATGGTCGTCTACCTTATAGCGCATATGCCTCAGCCGACTACACCGCGCCCCCCGGTGACTTTAACTTGCTGCGCAGCTTGCCCAGGCACCAAGCCACATGTATTGTCTCCTGCACGGACTCGCGTCTCATACCCGAGCAATACCTAGGCTTTGGTAGGGGAGAAATGCCGGTTGTCCGCGCGGCGGGTGGACGCGCAAAGGACGCGCTACAAACCCTGTTGATCCTCGAGTATCTGATAGGTCTTGGCCGCATTGTTATTGTGCACCACACCGGCATGTCACCGAACTCTTGGGCTGAACAAATTTTAATTATGTTTACAGAAGGACCCTGGTTTATCCCTTTATAGGTCAAATACGGAGTTCGGACAAAATTTCGCCAATTTTCAAAAAAAAATTCCCAAGCCGTTTGACGGCAAAGCCAAAAGGAGCGTTTCGGCATGTTCAAATACTGTGGGAATAAATTAAGCGCCTCAAAGTTCGGACAAACGCAGTATTTGACCTATAAAGGGATAAACCAGGGTCCTTTTACAGACTGCGGCCTAACGCACATGACCGATGCGGGGATCAACACATTTTTCAAGGAGAAGTGCCCGCACAAGGCTGCGGAGCTGGACGCGATGAACTTCGACGCCATAGTTGATGGAGATTTGCAGAAGAGTGTGAAGGACGACGTTAATTTCCTTCAAAAGTATCCGTATTTCAGCAAGGATCTCGTGGTTGCTGGTATGATTTTCGACCTCAAGACGGGAAAGGTGGAAAATATCAGCTAATGGTGTTTCTAAGCACATATACATGTATGTGTTTGGATCCATTTACTCCACAATTTCAAAATTATCTGGTCCCTCTGCCATTTGGCCTTGGAGCAGTTGAAGTTGAAGTTCAACATGGATCAACGGCAGTTTCCGGTGGCTGTGACCAGGCCCGAGTCCCGACAACATTCTTCTCAATGCCAGTGGCGGCCAACTGGCGGCTGAAGTTGTTGTGAATGCGAGAAGAAACCGCGGTTTATGTCACCGGACGCATTGCTTACCATGGTTAGCCGGAGGGCGGTGGAAGTGGAGGACTCGATGAGATGGAATCCGATACAATCCCATTATTGTCAGCGTAGCTCTTTTTCTATTTCTATTTGTTCTGCTCTCGTTTTAGCTGAGCGCTGAACCCCGATTAAATGTGCAGAACCATCTACCTATCAAACTTCCCGAGCCTTGGACCCGGGAGAACATGATTGGAATCTCAGCCATGAGTTGTGTTTGACTCGGATGGCATCAAGGATTGATCAATTTGATTGGTGCAAATAAACCCCTTTCTTCTTTCTTAGAACTCCCTTCCTTGAATGGCGCACAATTGGACCAGAACCGGACCCATACTTCCACCCGAAACTATAGACCATATAATTGACTATGTGGGGCCATGTTTCCCCACCCTCCGGGTCTGCGGCCTCGTCGCCCGCAATTGGCTGCCTGCCAGCCGGAAATTCGTGCACAGAGACATCACCCTGAACGCAGAATCTATCCGATTCACTGCCTTTATAAATCTCATCAAATCCCCATTCAACACATTTTTCGGCACGGTGCGGGCCATAGAACTCGTGCTCGGCCACTCGAATGGCCTCAAACCTCAGTCCCTGCTCGACCAGCTCCCGCAGTTCGCCCGTTTGGATTCCATCATCCTTGTGGCAGGATATATTGGCCAACCAATTCCGCTTTCCCCCACTGTATCGACTTTGGAACTCAGTAGCGTTCAGTTTCCCTCCTTCGCTGCATTTGTCGACCTCCTGTCGCAATTTCCCAGCCTCAAGGCTTTGACACTGGACAGCTTGGCATTTCCGACCGAATCTAGGAAAGCAAAGGTGCCGCATAACCAAAAGCCGTTTTCAGGTTTGTCATTGCAGACACTATCTGTCTGTGTCTGGCAGAACGATCAGCTTCTTCGCTGGCTCGGTTCTACCTCGGCTGGTCAAATTTCGACCCCCCGCCTAAAACTCACAGGATTAGATGATCGCGGGCCTGTCCGCATATCAGACTACCTCCGCATACTCAACACAACCTGCGCCATTTGAGTGTCCCCTCCGTTCTCTGTAAGTCATCACTTTGACTCAGTCATGTGCGAGTCAATGCACCCACTTCCCACAATTCGGCAGCGCTGACAGATTTCTCTGCAAACACCGCGCTCCAATCACTTCGCATCGCACATGCGCTCTCGATCTCCCGAGACGGGAATCTCGGCGTCTTTCCCGGTCTACCACAAATATTACAGAACTTTAAGCTCGACCGGCTCGAGGAATTGACTTTGGGCGTGGTTTTTGGGCCCTTCCTATTGGGGCAGAAACCTACCCGCGAGTTGCTCGATCAGGTCTCCGCTATCCTCAACCGTCCTCAGTACGCGCGACTTAAAAGCATACAGCTGGACGTCACCTGGAAGCACGGACTAGATGGGCTTGCACGGGAAGTTGTTACTACAGCGTTAGAAAAGGATCTCCCGCATCATGCTGCCCGTATCATTCTCATGGATTGTCCATTCGGAGTCCGTCATTCTGCCGTTGTTTCTTTCTCGCACATTGAAGCCTTGGGATATTTAATGGGAATAGATGGCGAGATTTAGTGGGTGACTTCCCGTAAGCATTAAATATTCCCCAGGAATATTTTTCGTGCTTGCCGACGTGATGCGACGTCAACTACCAGGACCCCATCAATTGCATCACCCCAAAACGATTGCGATTTATTCTCCCATCAGTCGAGATATGCTGAATCTATTCGGGGGGTACCCCCCCCTCGAATAGACTTTCGTATTGTGGAATATCCCGTTTAGGCACCAAATCACTGATTGTCACCTCCTGTCACTCCCGTCACAGACTCTACATCCTCACTTGCAAGCGCACCGTTCGTATACAACGGATCATTCGATGTTCTAACTCTATTCTAAGTACCCTGCATTGATCCCTGCCCAAATCACGGTTGTTCTCGCCTTTTTCCCCCTCGAAATTGATGCCAAATCATTTTTCAGAGTGATCCCTCTTGAGCCCACTTTGTAGTGCCACCGCTCCTCGTGCTTATGGTGTTTTAATTCTGAGATGACTCCGGTGCGAGAAGATGCTTGTATGATTGGTTTTTTCACTTCATCAAGAAGTAAATACATTATTTTAGTTACGGGAATACAACAGCATGAATATCTGTTATCTTTTGATCCTATCACTGGCACCCTCAAAGAAGCTCAGAAATTGCGCTGGAATATTTTAATGCTTACGGGAAGTCACCCAGTATCTTACTAGATCCTTACTCAAATACCTTTAAAAGCTCTAACTCGGTAGATTTGCGCACACAAACCCCTTTTTTATTTTCTTTTGCGAATTTTAAGACCGAGAATCTGCAAAAAAACACGCATCTACGGTCATGACAAGTCTCATATGCAATGATACTGTCATGGTTCGATGGTGTAGTTGGTTATCACTTCTGTCTAACAATTAGATGCATTTAGTGTTGACTTGTAACACAGGCGGTCCTCAGTTCGAACCTGGGTCGAATCACTTTTACGACATTCTATGAATCGATTATCGCCCAAGATTTTTGGAGCTTAAAACAAGGTTATCGGGCCGCCGGCGTTAGTATAGCTAGCACAGGGACGATGCTGTACGTATTTTGATTGCAACGTCCCAGTTAGGTCGATATCTCACGTAAGCGGCGGAGTAGTTTCTGTTTTCGGACGGCACGGGCAAGGTACTTGACCAAGTCCAGGGAAAGCAACGAGTGGCAGATATACTCGTCAACTGGTGCCCTACGCCGTGCGCAGCGGTATGCGATAATCATACAACATGTCCACTTGGTCCACACGACATCCAAACTGATGACGGTTCCATGCCCAAGCTCATGCCCCCAATAAAAAAAACAAATAAAAAAGAGAATGAAGCAGCAATATATCGTACACGCGCTAATGTTCGGCAGCATCAATCTATCCACACCGCCGGCCGACCTCAAAACAAAGCACGCCGCGTCAAGCCGCCCCGCGCTTTTTCTGCCTGCGCGGCGTAGTGACGCCGTTGTTGGCGGCATAAGGGTATTTTGGCTTTTTCTCGGCGGGCTTGAGGATCTGTTTTCGAAGTTAGGACAGGGGTCGAGGAAAGGATAACGGCGGCCACGCACCTGGAAGGAGCACAAGAGCGACTCGTCGACACTCATCATCGCGCCGGCGTTGTCAAACTCGCCGCAGTAGTTTGGCGCGGAGAAGAGGGTGACGAGATGCCGCTTCGCGAAGAACTCGTACCCGTCCTCGACGACCTGCAGTGCGGAACGATCAATGTCAGGACCGGCGCCGCCTCGCGCAGGGCAGCAAACGCACCTGGTGCCCTCTACATATAAGGTCCATGTCGTGTTTTTGGAGGAAGCGCGCGACGACATCGGGGCCGAAGGTAAAGGACACGCCGCGGTCGTTCTCTGACCATCCAGTGATGTCCTTATCCGGGTCGGACCACAGGAGGTCGGAGAGCAGGCCTGCGGGATGTTCGATATTAATATTTAGCTCGAAAAACGACACGCACCCGTGTCAGGGACGTCCGTCGGACGCATCACACGCCGTATCTGCTCCATCGACTGTAGGTCCGGGCTTAAGCCGCCATGCATCGTGAATATCTTCTCGTCGATAATGGCAGCGATAGGAAGGCAGTTGAAGCAGTCCGTGAACGTCTTCCACAGCTTTATGTTGTACCGGCGCTTGCCTGCGCCGTGGTCAAATTAAATAACAGCAACGACACGGCGTACGCACACTCATCGTAGAACCCGTATATCCGGTTGATGCATGCGCACTCGTGGTTCCCGCGAAGGATGAAAAAGTTCTCGGGGTATTTAATCTTGTATGCGAGCAGCAGGCAGATCGTCTCGAGCGACTGCTTCCCGCGGTCGACGTAGTCCCCGAGAAAGAGGTAGTTGGCCTCGGGCGGGAAGCCGCCGTATTCGAACAATCGCAGGAGGTCGTAGTACTGCCCGTGGATGTCTCCTGCGCGCCGCCCCGTGTGAGAGAATTACGCCATTGAGGGGCACACGACGCACCACAGATCTTAATCGGCGCCTCGAGCTCGAGGAGGATGGGCTGGTTGATGAAGATTTCGCGCGCCTTGGTGCAGAGGTACTTGATTTCGTACTCTTGTAGCTGTACGGGCTTGCCGGGGCGGTTTCCGCGCACTGTGGCGCAAGTCAGCGCGGCGGCGCGGGGAAAACGCCGCTGGAGTGCGCACCTTCGAGGAGCTTGTCTATGACCGAGTCGAGGTCAATCTCTATCGCAGAGTCTGCCATGCACGATTAAATTCCGGCGTAGGATGTACTGGAAGCGGGTATCGGGGCCGGGCGGAGAAAGATATGAGACAGGCGTAGAGGTCGTGTGAACAGCAAGAAAGAATCGTTACAGAGTGCGGGGTATTCTGTCCGGGCTGAGACGCAAAAGGAGGGATCGCGAATGAGTCAAGAAGATAACCTCTGAATCGCATGGTGCTGTCGCTTTGTCCCCATTCCGGCAATCGGGCCGCGTGAGAATATATGGTGCGAAAATAATTATTGTATATGTACTTGCTAGTAAGTCTATAAACACATTGGGCTAAGCATTAAAATTCGTGAATGGCATGCGTATAGGAAGAGTTCAGCAGGAAATCGAAATCAGGACGACGACTGGAGCGTCCCAGGCTCAGACGTATTATTATTAGTATCAGTATTAGCCGCCCGTGCGCGGCGTCTCCTCCGTCTGCATAACGAATGATCAGGCACCGCATAACGGAGAGGAACGACGGGGAAACCTACCTGGGGAACAGCGGACCTTTGGGCATGACTCGCTCGTCGAGATCCAGAGCAATATTGGTCGCACTATGAAAGCCCTGTCCGCGATTTAGCGTCGAGTACTATTACCAAGCACCTCACAACGCACCTCGATCCAGTCGACGACATCACCGACGTCGCGCGCCTGGAGCAAGAACTGCTCGCCCTCGAGCCTCACGCGGATGACGTTTTTGCGCTTCACGTAGTCGTTTCCAAGCCCGCTCTCGGCGTTCTGCAACGAGTACGCCCGGATGAGATCCGCGCGGTCGGGCTCCGGGACGTCCGTCCCCGCCTTCGCCTTCGCCTTTCCCTTGCCCTTGGTACTTGTCGGGGTCGCCGGTGCGCGCGCGCTGAGGAGCCCCGAGCGCGACGACGCGAGGCTGGTGTTCGAGCGCGACGACGAGAGGGCCGGGCCCGACGTACTACTGCTGGCCGAGCTCCCACTCCCACTCGCACTTCCGGGGCCCAAGCCCGCGGTAAACGGCGGCCGCGGGATGGAGAGAGACGAGCGCGGCGTGATGGGCGTCCTGGGCGGTGGATTCGGCAGGTCGCTTCTTGACCGCCCGTGCGCGCGCGGCTTGAGCAGACTGAGCCCAAGATTCAAGCGCGAGCGGTTGCTGGGCATGGCGCCGGCCGTCCCTTCCGACGAAGACGTTGGCGACGGCTGCGAAGCGGACGCGGACGTGGCGGTCGACGACGCGCGGCTACGCATAGAAGACATGCTCGCTCGCGGCGGCACGACGACCTCCGTGGTCCCCTCTTCATTCTCAACTCCACCCCCACTTCCACCGCCCCTACTCTCCTCCTCGCCCGCAATCTTCCCCGCCTGCGCGCCCTCCCTCGCCTCCGCGCGCGCCTTGACCGCAGCAGCGGCCGCAGCGGCCGCACTCGCGACCGCGCTCCCCGCCGCCGCAACATCCCCCGTGCCCACATGCCGCTCCCACCACCCCTCCCCGGGCACGCGATACACCCGAAACACCGTCCCCTCCAGCTCACACACCACCCGCCGCCACTTCCGGTCCCGCGCCTGCACCCCCGGCGCAGTAAACTCCATCTTGCGCGGCATCTCCCCGCGCAGCAGAATCGCGTTGCTGTACCCCGGCAGCGCCTCGCGCCCCTCGTCGTCGCGCGGCGCAATGCGCGCCTGCGCGAGCGGGTGCGCGTTCCCGGCGCCGGGCCCCGCGGCCGCGGCGAGCGGGTGGAACGGCGAGGGGAGCGTGTACGGCGGCGGCGCGGCCATGATCTCCGGCATCGAGCGCCGCCTCTTCAGCGTGCTCACGCGCCGCGGGCCGTCGTACGCCGGCGCTTCCCCGCGCGCCGCCTCCCCGTCCTCCCCGCCCGCCTCCGCCTCCCCGCCGGCTCCAGACGCCGCCGCGGACGACAGGATATCGACCATGCTGCGCGAAGCGTGCTTGTAGAGCGACGGGCGGAGCTCCGCGCCGGGCGAGGCGGGCATGGGGGGTATCGGCACGATGCGCGGGAGCGCCGGCGTGAACGGCGCGCTGGCAAACGGCGAGCCGGGCGCGTCGCCCGTCGGCGTACGCCCAGAGAAGTAGTCCGCCCGCCAGGCTTGCGGCGTGGGCGTCTTCTGCGGCTGCGGCTGCGGCGTCTTGGCGCCCTCGGACGTCGTGGCAGACGCGTACGACTGCATCCGCGACGGCACCTCGCGCCCCTTGCCCTTCGCATCTCCCGCCCCGGGGGTAAAAAACCCGCCAAAGTCCAACGCGAGCGACGACGTATCGAGGCGCAGCGGCAGCAGGGGCACGAACGGCGACTCTTCACGGTCCACATCCATGCTGTCCCTCCCATCCCCATCCGTGTCCCGCCCCTCGCCCTCACCTTCCCCTTCATCCAAATCCAACTCCAAATCAATCTCATCATCGTCCCCATCCTCCTCCCCCTCCTCGTCCTCATCTTCATCCCGATCACCCCTCGCCCCCTCCATCGCCAGCGCCGGCATACTCCTCACCACCGCCTTGCTCACGCTCCCCTCCCTCGCCACCCCCGGCCCGAAAATCACGCTCGATCGTCGGCCTACAGTCCCTCCCCCTCCTCCGCCGTCTGCAGTGGGACTCGTCGCCCCACTCCCACCAATCCCACTTGCACCAATCCCACTCCCACTTGCAGAAGAAGAAGCGGTGGGCGGCAGCCTCAACACCGGAATCGCGAGCGGCGGCTGGCGCACGATCACGCTCGGGCTCAGGCGCATGTCGCCCATGCCCATGCCCGTGCCCATGCCGCCGGGCGAAGAGGGGTTGAACGTCATGGACATCCCCCCGCCGCCGCCCCCGGGTGAGGCGGGCCCGTTGATCATGCTGAAGCGGTGCAGCGACATGGACATGGGGACGCGCCGCGGGAGGGTGCCTGCTGTGCGCGGGGAGCTCGGGGTGGGGGAGCCGGACCCGGACCCGGATGCGGGGGATGGCGAAAGGGAGGACGCGGATGGCGACAGCGAGGACGCCGAGGAGGACGACGCACCAGCGGCATACCCCGCCGACGCCGTACGCGCGCGCGCGTGCGCGCTGAAGGACGTTGGGGCGGCGTGCGGTGTGACGTTGGCGCTGGTGCTGGTGTAGGAGGAGCCGGGCGCGAGGCCTGCGGGGCCCCAGGGCGGTATCGTCGATGTCTGCGCACCATTCCCATTCGGCGCACTCGCACTGGCACCCGACGACGGGATAACGAGCGGGGTCGTCGCGAGCGGGGGGAGCGCCGTGCGCGGGGTCGCGCG